CAACCAGGCTGGTCTCAAACTCATGACCTCAAGTGATCTGCCCACCTCCGTCTCTCAAAGTGCTGGGATTAGAGGCGTGAGCCACCACGCCTGGCCTATTTTTTAATTTTTTTGAGACAGAGTCTGCCTCTGTCGTCCAGGCTGGAGTGCAGTGACGCCATCTCGGCTCACTGCCACCTCTGCCTCCCAGGTTCAAGCGACTCTCCTGCCTCAGCCTCCCTAGTAGCTGGGATTACAGCCATGCACCACCACACCTGGCTAATTTTTGTATTTTTAGTAGAGACGGGGTTTCACCATGTTGGCCAGGGTGGTCTCAAACTCCTGACCTCAGGTGATCTGCCCGCCTCGGCCTCCCAAAGTGCTGGGATTACAGGCATGAGCTGCTGTGCCCAGCCTCAATTATTTTAATCTTTGAATAACTTCAGATTTGCAGAAAAGTTAGAAGACTTACATGGAGAACTTCTCTACCCTCTTCCCCATCCCCGCAAGGTACACAGTTGGCAAAACAAGAAGTCTGAGGTTCAGTGACACACTTCTTAACTCACAAGTTTGTGCTCTTTCTTCTCTCTCTCTCTCTGTCGTCTCTCCCTCCCTCCCTCCCTCTTCGTCCCCTTGATGGCCACATTTACTTTATAATTTTCTCTCTCTCTTTCTCTGTCTCACTCTCTTACACAACACACACACTTATAGGAAGACACCTATATACATTTTTTTCCCGAACCATTGGTAAGTAATTTGCACACAGGATGTCCCTTCACCCCCAAGTCCACCAATACTTCAGTGTATTTCCTGAGAAGACAGACCTTCTAGATGTTTCACATGAATTCCATACTGGAATCTACAGTCGGAGTTCAGATTTCACCAGTTGTCCCAATAAAGTCCTTTAGATTTTTCTGGCCCAGGATCACTTGTCACTTTTGGTTGTCAGGTCTCTTTAAGTCTCCTTCAGTCTTATGTGTTGTCAGCCTTTTTTTTTTTTTTTTGAGACAGAGTCTCACCCTGTTCCCCAGGCTGGAGTGCAGTGGTGCTATCTTGGCTCACTACAACCTCCACCTCCCGGGTTCAAGCAATTCTCCTGCCTCAGCCTCCAAGTAGCTGGGATTACAGGTGCCTGCCACCACACCAGACTAATTTTTGTATTTTTAGTAGAGACAGGGTTTCACCATGTTGGTCAGGCTGGTCTTGAACTCCTGACCTCAAATGATCTGCCCGCCTTGGCTTCCCAAAGTGCTGAAATTACAGGCGTGAGCCACTGCGCCTGGCAGACTGTTTTTTTTTTTTTTTTTTTTTTTTTTTGAGACGGAGTTCGCTTGCGCCCAGGCTGGAGTGCAGTGGGATCTCGCTCCTGCGCTCCCCTCCCGGGTCCCCTCCCCTCAGCCCCAGAGCGGCTCGCTTTGTCTCCCAGGCTGGAGTGCAATGGTGTGACCTTGGCTCACCACAACCTCCGCCTCCGGGGTTCAAGGGATTCTCCTGCCTCAGCCTCCCGGGTAGCTGGGGTTACAGGCATATGCCACCACGCCCAGCTAATATTTGTATTTTTTAGGAGAGACAGGGTTTCTCCATTTTGGTCAGGCTGGTCTTGAACTCTCGACGTCAGGTGATCCGCCAGCTTCAACCTCCCAAAGTGCTGGGATTACAGGCGTGAGCCACCGTGCCTGGACTTTTTTTTTTTTAAATAATATTTTGTTTGTTTGTTTTCCTTATGAAGTCGGGGGTTGGCCATGTTGCCCAGACTGCTCTCGAACTCCTGGACTCAAGCAATCTACCCGCCTCGGCCTCCCAAAGTGCTGAGTGATGGGATTACAGGCGTGAGCCACCCCTCCCGGCCGACATTGACGTTCACGGAGGAGCCCAGGACGGTATTCTGTAGAATGAGCCTCATTTGGGGTCTTGTTCTCTTTTTTTTTTTTTTTCGTAGACACTGTTCAATGAGTCAAAACTTTTTTTTTTTTTTTAAAGAGTAAGTATGTGTCTACCAAGAGCTTGTTACTAAGCTAGGTCATTTAGCAATTTAGCACGGACAGAACAGTGTTGTTTCCTGCTTACTAGTGGGAGAGACAGACAAGTGAGCAAATTGATAAACAAGAAGGCTGTTTCTTGTTCTCTTTTGAACCCGCTCCAGTAAGTCTCTTGCTCCCTGCTTTTGTCAAGGTTCCTAAATCCAAAGGCCGCTTCTCAAGCCCCAACTTCCTTTACTCATGGACTGCTTCCCACGCAGTTGAGCGTTCCCTGGTTCCGGACAAACCTTTTGGGCTTGGTTTCCAGAACACCTTGCTCTCCTGGTTTTCCTTCTGCCTGTTCTTCCTGGACTTTGGAGCGCCCCAAGGCTCATTCCTTGGCCCTCTGCTGCCTGCTGGCTACACACTCTTCCTCCTTCCGGGGAGCTCCTCCATACTCGTGGTCCCCAAAGAGTCCCAGCTCGGAGTCCAGAATGGCACATCCAGCGGCCTGGCTGACACCTCCGCTTGGCCGTCTGGCTTGCCGCCTCTCGCTCGTCCTCTCCAAAACTGATCTCCAAACCGGACATCCCGCTCCCTCCCGCAGTCCATCCCCTCAACCCTCCAACCCCGAACCGACAAACCTAGTCCTCGGCCAACTCTGAATACGGCACTAGCTCTGGCCAAACCCTTGGAGTCACCCTCCACTCCTTTCTCTCACCCCTCATCCCAACTGTCCGCAAAGGCCATCAGCTCGGCTTTTAAAGTACACCCAGAATCTGGCCACTTCTCAGCCCCCGCACTGCCCCCATCCTGGCCCAAGCCCTCGGGCTCTCTTTCCTGGGAGGGTGCTATGGTCTCCTCGCCCGTCTTCCGGTTTCTCGGCCCTGGCCCCCTGTGGCTTGTCTGAGCTCTGGCGTTCACAGGGAAATAGTGGTCGCTCTCACCATGCTATACCGCCCTCCCTGGGCTCGCCCCCTCCACGGGTGGGAAGCACACGAGGCCCCGCCCGATTCAACGCCCTCTGGGGTCACCTCCCAGCCCCTGCCCCGCGCCGCCCCAGCGACTCGGTCCTCCGGGCCCACCCCAGGGCGTCGAAACTGGTGGTTCCCCCGGCGGTTCCACGCCCCTCGCCTCCTTCCCGGGGAGAAGCAGCTTCGCAGCGCCACTCAGGGAGCAGAGATTACCAGGGCCCGTTTCCCAAGGCTCCGCCCAGCCCTCGAACCTGTGGGAGCGAGCGTTCCCTCCCACGGGGCTGCGCCCTGGCCTCAACGAAAACTCGTGGGTCCAGACGGTTGAGAAATGGCTAGAGGGACAGAGAGGTAAGTGCCCGTCTCGGTGTGGTCAACTATACAAAATATGTAATTACATGTCTATAACACATTTAATAAAGTAAGCCCAGGCCGGGTAGGGTGGCTCAGGCCTGTAATCCCAGCACTTTGGGAGGCCTAGGCGGGCGGATCAGGAGGTCAGGAGTTGGAGACTGTTAGGCAGGAACCCGGACCCGACATGGCGGCGCCACTGGGCGTAGGAGGCTCTTTGTTCCAGCCGGCCCTTTGTTTCCAGACTTCCTTCCCTCTTTGAACACACCCTCAGACTTACATACATCAGAGGTTCCAGCTGGGCAGTCACATTCCCCCATGCCCTGCAGCTCACCTGCATTCCACAAGTTCCTAAATAGCAGTTCCGGTTGACAGTTTCCAAAGACCCCTTCCTCATGACCCTTACTCAACTCCTGTCCTAGTAGTTTCAAGACGCCCCAGGACCTGTTTACACAACCAGCTTCCCTACCTCTCAGGCTATCAGAAGCCCCTACCCTCCTCCCTCAGCGCGACTTCCTCGGCCCACACCTTTGGACCAAGGAACCTCGCCCGCAAGCCCTAATAAAAGGGTATTCTCACTGCTGTTTGCCTTGTGTCTTTGTTCCCCGTTCGGCTCCAGCCTCTGTAAAGTTTACCTTTACAGAGACCAGTCTGGCCAACATAGTGAAACCTCGTCTCTACTAAAAATACAAAAATTTAGCCTGATGTGCCGGTGTGCGCCTGTAATCCCACCTACTTGGCAGGCTGAAGCCGGGAAGGGAATCAGGTGAACCCGGGAAGCGGAGGCTGCAGTGAGCCGAGATGGCGCCACTGCACTCCAGCCCCGGCAACAGTGCGAGAATTCCTCTTAAATAAATAAATAAAGCAAGTCCACCGAGATTATGTTAGATGGTGGTAACAGGGGTGTTCACCGAACAATTCTTTCAACGTATGTGTGAAAAAACGTTTAAAGAAATGTTGGATGCTAGCTAGGTCAGGACTGAAAAAGAGAGGAGACAGAAAAAAAGATGTTGGAAAGAAAAGCCTCATACAACTCTTCAAGTCCATTTCGTTGTGGGCTTTTCCTGTTGAAGGGCAATGAAGGCCGGGCGCGGTGGCTCAAGCCTGTAATCCCAGCACTTTGGGAGGCCGAGACGGGCGGATCACGAGGTCAGGAGATCGAGACCATCCTGGCTAACATGGTGAAACCCCGTCTCTACTAAAAAATACAAAAAAAACTAGCCGGGCGAGGTGGCGGGCGCCTGTAGTCCCAGCTACTCGGGAGGCTGAGGCAGGAGAATGGCGTAAACCTGGGAGGCGGAGCTTGCAGTGAGCTGAGATCCGGCCACTGCACCCCAGCCTGGGCGGCAGAGCAAGACTCCGTCTCAAAAAAAAAAAAAAAAAAAAAAAAAAAAAAGAAGGGCAATGAAGCTGAAGGAGCTTCTCAGCGATTCTGGTGATTCACAAGCACTCTCCTGTTCCATGGCTGCCCAGCCTACAGGGAGGACGGAGCTCAGCGCTTGGGGGGCGGGGCATGCAAATTTAAAATGGCTGTTTCGCTGGGGAGCTTTGGGAACAAAAAGAGAAAGTGAATATCCCCCCAAAGTTGTAACAGTATTACTTATACAGTGTCACAAATTGTAACAAGGAACATCGTGTGAACCTAGGGAAGAGAGTGCTTCTTTATTTGAGGCTGATTTTTCTTACCGTGAGCTCAGGATGAGTGGGAGAAGGACTGCTGTGGCCAAAGAAAGTAGGCAGTATTGCTTTTCGGACTTTTGGGTAAAATCAATGTGTTCCTATCAGTTTAATATCTGTATACGTTGTCTATCTGAGAACAACACGTTAAGTGGGTTTTGGGAGCAGAGAGGTGGCAGAGGGAGCCTGCTCCATCCCTTCCACGCATCGACCTGCTATTGTAATATTTTTAAGAACGGTGCACCCCCTTCCATAAGATATAGGCGAGTTTACGTTGGTTTGGTTGTTTTTCGAGGTTTTTCTTTTTTTACGTGGGTGTGGTGTGATGGCTGAAGTTCTTTTGTTTTCAATTGGATTGAGGGTAAAGGAGCAAGCACTTGGAAGTATGTTTTTACGTTCCGAGGCTTGATAAAGTAAGAACCGCTTGTCGCCAACCTGATGCATCGTGCCAAGAGGTGCACTGCTGATTTCTGGACTCGAGAGATAAAACACGAAGCAAGCAGGATAATCAGTCATAAGCCAACGCCGGATGCGATTTGGTTTATTTAGTCTTACCCCTTGACTTACCCCTTGAAAAAAGTGCAGTTACTTTTTTCTCGGTTTTCATATTATTGCCTCCCAACTGCTCTTATTTTTTCTTTTTCTTTTTTTTTTTTTTGATACCGAGTCTCACTATGTTGCCCAGGCTGAAGTGGCCTCATCTCGGCCCACTGCAACGTCCGCCTCCTGGGTTCAAGCGATCCTCCCGCCTCAGCCTCCCGAGTAGCTGGGACTACAGGCTTGCGCTACCACGCCTGGCTAATTTTTGTATTTTTAGGACAGACAGTTTCACCATGTTGGCCAGGTTTGTCTCCTGAACTCAAGTGATCCGCCCGCCTTGGCCTCCCAAAATGCTAGGGTTACAGGCCTGAGCCACTGCGCCCAACCTTTACACTTTTTAATTCATCCCGTCAGGGAGCTGAAGCCTCTTACTCAGGAATCCGCGCCTGGTCCCTGCGAATAAGAAGGGTTGTTTGACTAGGAGGCCTCGTCGGAGGCATCTCGCAGTTAGCCAGGAGTGGGGAGAACTTTTTTCTCGTGGTTTGCATAGGAGCTTAACTGCAGTAGAATAAAACATCAGTTACATTTCTAAGGTCTTGACTCCAAACCTTGGTTCCTAGACAGCATCCCAGCACCCATGCAGGGCTTGGGGGAGCTCACTGCCCTAAAGGGAGGGACATAATCCTGGCTGGCTTGGCCACCTGATCTTAGAGCTCTACGACCTTGAGGGAATATAGTTGGTAGCCGGGTAGTGAATATAGCAGGCCTTTGAGTGAGACCCGGTGCTGTGCTGGGTTTGGGTCTGAACCAGCACAGGGTTGCTTAGGCATCTCAGCACAGAGAGAGACTCCATTTATTTGAGAGAAAGTAAGGGAAAAGAACAAGAGTCTCTGCCTGGTAATCCAGAGAATTCTTCCGGATCTCATCCAAGACCACCAGGGTAGTACCTCTACTGTAAGAATCACGGCATGATTGGGCTTGGGGCACACATATCCTGGAATACCCAGAAAGCCTTCCCAAGAAGAACACACAGAAACAAGACTGTGAAAAATACAATAAATGCCTAATTCTTCCATGCGCACGTAAAACAAACATCCACAAGCGTCAAGATCATCCAAGAAAACACGATCTCACCAAACCATGTTTGGTGAGGCACCAGGGACCAATTCCAGAGAAACTGAGACGTGGCATTTCAGACAGAGAATTCAAAATAGCAATTTTGAGGAAATTTAAAGAAACTGGAGAAAATGGCCAGGCATGGTGGCTCACACCTGTAATCCCAGCACTTTGGAAGGCCGAGGCAGGCAGATCACCTGAGGTTAGGAGTTCGAGACCAGTCTGACCAACATGGAGAAACCGTGTCTACAAAAAATACAAAATTAGCCTAGCGTGATGGCACATGCCTGTAATCCCAGCTACTCGGGAGGCTGAGGCAGGAGAATTGCTTGAACCTGGGAAGAGGAGGCTGTGGTGAGCTGAGATCATGCCATTGCACTCCAGCCTGGGCAACAAGAGAGAAACTCTGTCAGAAGGAAGGAAGGGAGGGAGGGAGGGAGGGAGGGAAGGAGAAAAGGAAAGGAAAGGAAAGGAAAAAAAGAAATTGGAAATGCAGAATTCTATCAGGTGCATTTACCAGAGATTGAAATTATTCTGGCTGGACGCAGTGGCTCACACCTGTAATCCTGGCACTTTGGGGGGCAGAGGCAGGATAATTGCTTGAGTCCAATGGTTCAAGACCAACCTAGGCAACATGGTGAAATTTTGCCTTTACAAAAATAAAAAAATTAGCTGGGCATGGTGGCAGACACCTGTAGTTCCAGCTACTCGGTAGGCTGAGACGTGAGAATCGCTTAAACCAGGAAGACGGAGGTTGCAGTAAGCGGAGATCGTGCCATTGCATTCCAGACTGGGTGACAGACAGACTTTGTCTCAAAAAAAAAAAAAAAGACAGGAAGAAAGACAGGGAAGGCAAGTCAAATTAATCCCTTGTTTTGGAAGCGGGTGGAATGGTAAATCCTTACTTATGATTTGGGAAAAAGAAAACCTAAAGACTCCACCAAAATTAGATGATTAGGACTTTGTAATTTACTTGTCTCAACTTATGACAGGAGGGATCGGCCCAGACAGACAGTATAATGAGGAACAGTTTCTGGTGGAAATACACAAGGCAGATGTACATGTGAACAAGTGAGCATCCCCAGTTGTCCCATCTCCCATCTAGAGGACTTAAATCCTATAAACTGGGTTTAGTCTTAACCCTAAGACTTGCTCTTGCCAGACCTGCAACCATTCTGAACAATGACAGCCAAAGGAGGTCATACCTACAAAGGTCTTTCCTGAAGGGGAGTATAAATTCCTTCTGTGTCTAACAGTGCTTATCACCGCTTGGCTATAGTTGAGGACAATAGCTCGATAGCTCCGTGGAGTGAATCACCCTGAGGTCCTAGCCCCACCCTACAGCCATTAAATTAGAATCTTTGGGACAGGGCCTAAGGCTGTTGTACTTCACAGCTTCCGGGGTATTTCCCTGGGACCAAAAGCACCTCTTAGAAATGTCCAGTGAAGACAGTAGTGAGCTTGGTCTGGAACAACGAATTGTCCCCGGAAGTGAAAGTGTTCAACAGGAGACACTCAGTAACCAGTGTGTGTAAATGAGAGAGTAGCAAATCCCTTGGTTTTGTCACTGACAAGAGGCCACCCAGTCCAGTGGGGAGGCTTTTCCACCCAAATTGGAATATGTGCACAGCAAGTCCGACAGCTTCTGTGCTGTTCCCACTCTGCAGAACTAGATGGACCCCACCCCCGCTACTGACCGAAAATTTATTTTGGAAATTCAGGCTGATGATACCACACAGGGACCGAGAAGGTGTGAAAGGTTTATAACTAACAAAATGAGGTGCTCTGGGAATCAGAGGGGCTCCCAGGCAGGTCGGAAAATGACTTGAGAGCGAGGAGACTGGGTTGGTGTTTTGATGGGGGTTTGGGAAGGGGCAGGATGGAGGGCTCTGGGAGCGGGGGCTGGTGCTGCCTGCTGGGTGCCAATGGGGGGAGCACCCGAGTTTTGTCATGAGCTTGTTATCTCCACTCATAGAATGGGAGCCTCTTGTCATCTCCACTCAGATTGTCGGAACCTATTAATACACTTGGCTCTAAGAGGAGGAGGGCTGTGAAGGAACGCTAATGCCTACAGCGCCTTGGTCATTTAGGCTGAGGTTAAGTGCGGGACTTGCACTGTCAGTTACCGTTATTTCGCATTACATCAGCAAAGGAGATCTCTAAACGCTGTCTGCTGACAAGGTGGAATGGGAGGTTACCTCCACGCGTTTGCATTGGATCGTCGGGGCCTGTTAGCACACTTGTGTGTATGTAAGTCAGCAGCGTGTACTTTGGAGAGTGTAGCTGCTTTAGATTTCACTTGGTTTAGTCACATGCGGTGTGACGATCATTGGATTAAAGGTTACCGCACCTACATCAGTATCCGTGTTCTGACTGGTCTCTGCTATTACTTGGCACACTCAGATGCGATATTCGGATCGTTATGTTTAAGTTTAGCGCCCCTACTTTACCAAGCGGGACGGTTTTTTTCATTTACGTGTCTATCCAAGGCAGTATAAACATCTTTCAGTTCAAGTTTACCGCATGTGTTTCACTATCCAGAGTCGGACTGCTTTTCGATTTACGTGGCTTTGTGGGATGCGGTATGAAGATCGTTGCATTCAAGTTTGCTTTAAAGATAGTAATATGGGACTGGGTGCCGTGCCTCAGGCTTGTAATCCCAGCACTTTGGGAGGCCGAGGTGGGTAGATCACCTGAGGTCAGGAGTTGGAGACCAGCCTGGCTAACATGTTGAAACCCTGTCTCTACTAAAAACAAACAAACAAACAAAAAAACAAAAATTAGCCAGGCGTGGTGGCGCGCTCCTGTAATCCCAGCTACTCGGGAGACTGAGGTAGGAGAATTACTTGAACCCGGCAGGCGAAGTTGTGGTGAGCCGAGATCGCTCCATTGCACTCCAGCCTCGGCAACAAGAGCGAAAACTCTTAGTGTTTCTTTCCTGTTTCTTTAACTCTTCCAGGGGCCCCTTTCCCAAGGCTCCGCCCAGCCCTGGAACCAGTCAGAGCATGTGCTCCCCCGGGGCCTGCACCCTGGCCTCCTCGAAAACTTGCCGGACCAGACAGTTGAGAAAGGGCTAGAGGGACGAGACCTGAGTACCTGTCTCCATGTGCGCAGCTATAGAAAATATGTAATTATGTGTCTGTAACACATAATAAAGCAAGTACAGCAAGATGACTTTAGGTGATGGGCATACGGGTGTTCACCAAACAATTCTCTCAACGTATGTGTGAATAAAAGTTTAAAGAAATGTCGGATGCCGGCTAGGTGAGGACGAGAGGGGGAGGAGGAGGGAGAGGGAGGTGAAGGGAAGAAGGAGGGAGGGAGAGGGGAGGGGAAGAGGGAGGGGGAGGAAAGAATAGCCCCATAGAGTTCTTCGTGTCTTTTTCGTTCTGGGTTTTTCCTCCTGAAGGGCAATGAAGCCGAAGGAGCGTTCCCAAGATCCCAGTGATTTACAGGCTCTTTTCTGTTCAGCAGTTGGCAGGCAGGGCACGGCGCGTCTGGGGCGGGGCATGCAAATTTTAAATGGCTGTTTCTCTCGGGACTTATGGGAGCAAAAAAGGAAAATGAATATCCTCCGAAACAGTAACAATATTACTTAGGCAAGTTTTAAAATTTGGATAAAGATACACAGTTTCAACGTAGGAGAGAGAGTTATTGAGGGTGATATCTGTCACCCTGAGCTGAGGATGTGGTGGAGAAGGGGTGCAGTGGACGATAGGTGTACTGTTTTGAGGCTGAGTTTAGTCTGTAAGATTCAGCTCGACAGTTTTTTTTTAAACCTTTATTCGGTGATTAGAGTGTGTTTCAATGTTCGTTTTGGTTTCATTTATATGAGTGTTTTTCTTTTTTTTTTCATTTCCTACGCTGTCCGCCCATTACAAAAGCAAGATTATCAGCGTATTTTCTTGTGGCTCTCAGCAGCGGGAGGTTTTCAACGTGTGATCTTCACAAAAGCGACGGTGTCGTACCGTTTACGTTGGGCCTTCAGCATCTCAGAAGACGTTACCTCGCCGGGTAAGTCCGGTCGTCACGGCCTGTTAGCACCCTAGTATTTATTTAAGTTCACCGTGTGTTCCTTACTTTTACGCGTTTACATCGGTTCTTTTGGGCCCGTTGGCGCCGCTATTTTTACATTGGCCGCCCGTGCTTTACGTTTGCACGTTTACGTCGGATCATTGGCGTCTGTTAGCGCCGTCGTTTTTACATTGGCCGCCCGTGCTTTACGTTTGCACGTTTACGTCGGATCATTGGCGTCTATTAGCGCCGCTGTTTTTACATTGGCCGCCGGTGCTTTACGTTTGCACGTTTACGTCGGATCATTGACTATTAGCACCGTTGTTTTTAAGCTGGCCGCGCGTGCTTGGTAGAGCTTAGTTGCTTTCGGTTTCACTTGGTTGCGGCGTGACGATCATTGAGTTAAAGATTACTGCACTCACATCGGTCTCCATCAGTCTCCGTAATCTGACTGCTCTTTGTTATTACTTGGTTTACTCACATACAATATGCGGATTGTTCTGTTTAAGTTCAGCGCCCGTACTTCACTATCCCAAGTGGGACTGCTTTTTCATTTACGTGTCTCCATCCAAGGCAGTATAAACATTTTTCTATTCAAGTTTACCGCATGTGTTTCACTATCCAGAGTCGGACTGCTTTTGGATTTACGTGGCTCTGTGGGATGCGGTATGAAGATCGTTGCATTCAAGTTTGCCGCCTCTACTTAACTGTGCAGGGTCTGACTGTAGTCAGATCTGTATGACAGATGTTACACTCGTTTTCTGCGGGTACGTCGCTATCCAGTCTATTTTTTCCATTAACGTGGCTGAGTCATATGTAGTATGAGTGTCAGAGACATTGGAACCCGAAGCGACCCTATTTTGAGTGAGGGCTAGAAAAATGAGGCCGGGATTTACAGCGTGCATTCTCTGAAGGATATTCCTAGCTGTCAGATGTTTACGGTTAAGGGAATAAATTAATGTTTACTAAAGAGACCCAAGTGTCCAGATACCTGGATATCTGGAGAACAAAGGCGTTCCTAATTTTGCTTTAAAGATAGTAATAGGGATTTTGTTTTTTTTTTTTTTTTTTTTGAGACGGAGTCTCGCTCTGTCACCCAGGCTGGAGTGCAGTGGCCGGATCTCAGCTCACTGCAAGCTCTGCCTCCCGGGTTTTTACGCCATTCTCCTGCCTCAGCCTCCCGAGTAGCTGGGACTACAGGCGCCCACCACCTCGCCCGGCTAGTTTTTTGTATTTTTTAGTAGAGACGGGGTTTCACCGTGTTAGCCAGGATGGTCTCGAACTCCTGACCTCGTGATCCGCCCGTCTCGGCCTCCCAAAGTGCTGGGATTACAGGCTTGAGCCATTGCGCCCGGCCAAGTCCCTGGTCTTGACAATCAGGCTGCTCAGGAAAACAATCAGGCTCCACAACTGCTTGCCACTGGGGCACAGTTCCTGGTATTCCAGCAGTTCAGGCAGTAGTTCAACCTGACCCTATACATTCAGGCCAGGTTCAGCTATGCCCTGCTACTTGGGAAAGTTTTTCTTTTTTCTCTCTCTCCTTTTTTTTTTTTTGAGACGGAGTCTCGCTCTGTCACCCAGGCTGGAGTGCAGTGGCACGATCTCAGCTCACTGCAACGTCCACCTCCTGGGTTCACACCATTCTTCTGCCTCAGCCTCCCAAGTAGCTGGGAATACAGGCGCCTGCCATCATGCCCGGCTAATTTTTTTTGTTTTTTTAGTAGAGACAGGGTTTCACTGTGTTAGCCAGGATGGTCTCGATCTCCTGACCTTATGATCCACCCACCTCGGCCTCCCAAAGCGCTGGATTACAGGCGTGAGCCACCGCGCCCGGCCAAGTTTTTCTTTTAAATATTTCAAAGCACCAGTGAAGCAGTATGGCACCAACTCCCCTTTTGTCCATTCTAAATTAAAAGCTCTAGCAGAAAATAAACACATTGGTGCCCTATGGAAAATTTTAGCAAAGTCAGTCTTATCTAAATCCTAATATTTACAGTTCAGGACTTGGTGGGTTGATGCTGTCTGTCCAGGAATGCATTCGTCTTAGGACTCTAATCCTCCTGTTAATGTTATGGCCAACCAATTACTGGCAATGGGCCAGTGGGCTGCAATTCAAAACCAAACTATACTAAATGATGAGGTTATTGAACAATTACAAAAATGTTACCTGGACGTTTGGGACAAAATTCAAGATGATGGCAAAGTATGCCCATCTTTTATGGCTGTCAGATAGGGACAACATGAACCCTATCCAGACTTTATTGCCCATCTTCAAGACGCAGCAAAACATGCTATCCCTGATAGCCACAGCCTTGTTGTAGAACTTTGGCTTACGAACAAGTAAATCCAGACTGTCAGGCGGCTATTTGCCCCATTAAAGGCAAAATTCAACTAGGGGTGATGTACTCACCTCATACATTAAAGCTTGTGAAGGCGTGGGGGAAACTCTGCATGCAGCAATGGTCATGGTACAAGCCATGGTCTCTATTCGAATGCCTGGACAATTTCCTGGCAAATGCTTTCCATGCGGCCAACCAGGACATTCTAAAAGAGATTGTCCTTGTCGTACAGGCCGCCATCCTTTTCAACATGGACAACCAAAATTTTTCAACAACAAGCCCCACCTTCTACTGTATGCCCACGATGCCGAAAAGGAAATCACTGGGTGGTTCAATGCCACTGAAAATTTGATATTGATGGCAGTCCCTTACAGTCACTGAACAACCAGGGAACCGGGAAGAAGGGCCGGCCCCAGGCCCTTCCAAACAATGGGGCATTCCTCAGCTTCCAGCTAGCTTCCTGCCAGATGAGTGCCTTTCCGGCCCAATCCATTCAACCTACACCCCAATTCCCACTTCAGCAATTTGTGCCACAGGATTTAATGGCTCTGCCCCAACACGAATCTCAGTACAGTGCTTGTCCCCCGCCACCACAGGCTCAGCAGCAGTAGATCTTTGTTGCACAAGAGATATTTCTCTGTTACCTGGAGAGCCACCTATTGCTGTTCCCACAGGTGTTTTTGACCCCTTGCAGACTGGCAGTGTTGGTTTGCTATTTAGTCGCTCAAGCCTAAATTTAAGAGGTGTTCAAGTACATACTGATGTAATTGATTCTGACTATTCAGGTGAAATTCATATTGTCATTAGCTCTGCAGTCCCTTGGTATGTGGCAGCTGGAGACCACGTCGCTCAACTTCTTATACTCCCTTACATTCCTTTAGGATCCACTTCTTGTACAAGAACCGGAGGTTGTGGTAGCACAGACTATCATGGCAAAGCAGCTTATTGAGTCAGCAAAATTTCTGACACTCGTCCTGTGTGCTCCTTGCATATTCAAGGAAGGAAGTTTGAGGGAATGATTTATATGGGCGTTGATGTCTCCATTATCACTTTACATCAGTGGCCCTGACACTGGCCAAAGGAACACACGTCCACAGCATTAGTTGGTGTTGGTCAGGCTTCAGAAGTCTATGAAAGTTCTATAATTTTATACTGTATGGGCCCAGAAGGACAGATTGGTACTATCTGCCCCCTCATTACACTCGTTCCTGTTAACCTGTGGGGAAGAGATCTTTTACAACAATGAGGGGCAAAGATTTCTTTTCCACAAGGCAATTATAGCCAGCAGAGTAAAGACATTATGACCAAAATGTATGGGCTTAGGAAAATCAGCAGAAGGCATCACCGAGCCTATTATACCTACCCATAAATCAGATTCTACGGGACTTGGTTATTCTTTTTAGAAGGAGTCACTGTCAAACCTCCAGATCCCATCCCCTTGACTTGGAAAACTCAGAAACTGTTTTGGGTAGATCAGTGGGCGCTCCCTAAAAATAAGCTGGAGGCACTCCATATTTTGATTCTTGAACAGTTAAAATTGGGACACATCGAACAATCTTTTTCTCCCTGGAATTCACTTGTCTTTGTTATCCAAAAGAAATCTGGTGAGTGGAGAATGCTTACTGATCTTAGAGCAGTAAATGCTGTCCTTCAGCCTGTGGGGACATTACAACCCAGCTTGCCTTTCTCCACTATGATTCCCAAGTACTGGCCACTTATCATCATTGATCTTAAAGACTGCTTCTTCAACATTCCTCTGGCCCCTCAGGACTTTGAAAAATTTACTTTCACAGTTCGAACCCTTAACAACATCACTCCCACAGCGCATCCTTAACAACATCACTCCCACAGCGCATTACCATTGGAAAGTCCTACCTCAAGGAATGGTTAATAGCCCTACTATTTGTCAATATTATGTGGGGAGCATATGAAAACCAGTAAGAGATCAGTTTCCCCAATATTATATCATTCATTACATGGATGATATTTGTGGAGTACCTTCACGTTCTGTATTAATATCTTGTTTCTCTGCAGTACAACAAGCAGTCGTAACAGCTGGTTTGGTTATTGCCCCAGAAAAAATCCAAACTTCTTCTCCTTATCAATATTTAGGAATGCAGCTAGAAGACAAGATTATTAAGCCCCAAAAGGTTCAACTCAGATGAGACTCTCTAAAAACTCTAAATGATTTACAAAAATTGCTTGGAGATATTAATTGGATTCACCCCTCCTTGAGCATTCCTACCTATGCTATGTCTAATCCTTGCAACATTATGGGGCATTCCTGATTTATGCAACAAAATGCCTTTGACCCCTGAGGCAGATTCTGAATTACAACTTACAGAAAAATGCATTCAACAATCTCAGGTAACCAGGGCGAATCCACATTTACCTTTTGAAATACTAATCTTTCCTACTAAACATTCATTCAGCAACAGGACTCATTATCCAGGGACATAATTTAATTGAATAATGCTTTCTTCCACACAGCTCTTTATAGACGCTTATCATTTATCTAGATCAAATTTCCATCCTAATTGGTCAAGCTCATTCTCATCTCCTAAAATCATTGTTCCCCTCACCCGATTACAAGTCCAACAGGCTTTTGCAATCTGCATTTCTTGGCAAGTACATTTGGCATGTTTCCCGGGTGTGTTTGACAATCATTATCCTAATGTAAAACTGTTTCAGTTCTTTAAACTTCTTAGGTCTTACCTAACATTACTACGGATACCCCATTAGCTGAAGCTGTCACTGTTTTTACTGATGCTTCCTGTAATGGCCGAGCAGCATATACAGGACCAAAAGAACGTGTCCTTAACTCAGGAGCTGCTTCAGCACAATGAGCTGAGATGATCATCATCATGGCTGTTCTTGAATATTTCCCTGAACCAGTTAACATTTTTTCTGATTCGGTGTATGTAGTACATGTTGCTTGCAACATTGAAACTGCCTTAAACATATTTCTGCCTGATGATAACCTACTTTTTCTTTTCCAAAGGTTTCAGTCCATACTCAGAGCAAGGTCTTCTCCCTTCTACATTACTCACATTACGGCTCACACGCCCCTCCCAGACCCCTCTCAGCAGCAAATGCGAGTGCTGATACATTAGTTGCTCCCGTTTTTTACAGACGCAGAAAATTTTCATGCTTTAATTCATGTCAATGCTGCGGGACTCTGAAAAAAGTCCTCCCTCACGTGGAAACAAGCTAAAACCGTTGTATGTCACTGTCTTGCTTGTCAAGTGTTAATTTTACAGCCACTTTCCTCAGGAGTTAATCCTAGAGGACTTTCACAGAGTGCTCTATAGCAGATGGATGTGACTCATTATCCAGCTTTCAGCAAACTCTGTCTTATACATGTAACTATTGACACTTTTTCTCATTTTATCTGGGCCACATGTCAAACAGGGGAAAGTACGGCTCATGTTAAACAGCACATGCTTTCACGTTTCTTGGTTATGGGCTGTCCTGAGAAACTAAAAACTGAAAATGGTCCTGGTTACGTTAGCAATGCTTTTAAAAAGTTCACTCAGAAATGGGAAATTACTCACACAACTGGCATTCTGTATAACTCTCAAGGATAGACATTGGTAGAACGAGCTAATAAAATGCTTAAAGACCAACTTTGAAAACAGGACACTAAACCGAAAAGGGATGCTGCTACCCCTCATACTCAGTTAAATTTGGCTTTCTCCACTAAATTTCTTAAACCTAGCAAGAAGTCAACCTTTTACAGCAGCAGAACAACATTTCACTGGAAATAAATTTGATCCACAAAAAGGAAAGCGGGTATGGTGGAAGGATGCAAAAACTGACAAATGGGAATTAGGTACGGTGGTAACATGGGGTAGGGGTTTCGCTTGTGTTTCTCCAGGAGAAGGACAACAACCCGTGTGGGTTCCCTCCCAGCAACTGAGATTGCATTATAACTCCAAGGATGGTAGAACTCTCAGAAACAAAAGGCAAAGAACCGTCAGAAAGCAAAGAGCAAGGTTTGTCACCTGACACATAAACTCCATGACCTCGACATTACAACAAAATATCGCCGTGTGACCTACAACACCAGTCATTCTACTCTACCAACATGGGGCCAGATAAAAGTCTTATCACATCAAACAGAGAAATTACTACAAGAAGAAGGAATTCCAAAAATGACGGGTAATATAATTCTGGCTGCCTTTATGGTGGTCAGTGCAGTGGTGAGTATACCAGAGGTTGGGGCAACTCAAAATTATACCTACTGGGCATATGTTCCTTTTCCCTCTTTAATTCAGTCTGTCTCCTGGATAGACTCCTCAGTGGAAGTTTACACCAATAATAGTGCATTCACACCGGTCCCCGATGATGACAGGTTTCCAGCCTAACCAGAAGAAGAAGGTATGCACTTTAATTTGTCAATTGGCTACAAATATCCACCACTGTGCATTGGAATTTGCCTGGCTGCTTAGCTTATTATAAGAACTGGATGTGGACCATACCGTCCTCTAGTAATGATTTTTATCAAGTGCATATGTGTTCAGTAGCAATTCTTTCCAACTCATGAATGTTAAACTTAATCCACATGAGGAATGGAGGATTCCTGTCACTACTAAAAGCAGTAAAACAAAAGGACTGCCAGACAGCTCAAATGAACCTACAAAGGGACATTTTCTAGTAAATTCAATTTTATGGAATTATTATAATGCTCTAAAGGCCATAGTGTTCCAAAATCTAGCTACGGGTGTTGTTATTGACTGGGATCCAAGAGGGTATTATTGGAGGAATTGCTCTGGCCAAAATACCAAATGCTCGGAGTTTAATTATTTGTTAGATTATGTGGAGGACTGATGGCAGTCCTACAGGTTGAAGGAACGGGTGCCTCCTTATCGATTTAAATGGATGGACACAGGAATCATTCCTCCTAGACCAAAAATGATTCATCCAGTTGTTACCCTAGAACATCCTGAATTATGGAAATTAGCTGCAGCCATGACAGGAATAAGGATATGGAATGCTACCTATCAATTCTCTCCTACTGATACCGAGACACCCATATTCAAGATCACCTTGATGTCAGAACAGGTGATACCTATCAGGAGCTGTGTCAAACCCCCTTATATGCTGTTAGTTGGAAATACAGTTATCACTCCCAATGCACAAACTATGTAATGTGATGATTGTAAGCTGTCCACGTGTATTGATGCTGTTTTTAATCCCAGAACAAGTATTCTCTTGGTAAGGGCTAAGGAGGTAGTATGGATACCAGTCTATTTACATCATACATGGGAGTCTTCCCCCTCTATATACATAGTCAATGAAGTTCTTAAGGATATCCTCAAAAGAACCAAGAGATTCATTTTCACTCTTACTGCAGTCATTCCAGGACTAATTGCGGTTGCTGTAATAGCGGCAACTGCTGGAGTTGCTATCCACAACTCTGTTCAAACCGCTCAATATGTGGAAGCATGGCAAAAAAAAACCCACCAAACTCTGAAATTCTCAGACTCAAGTTGATCAAAAATTGGCTAATTAAGTTAATTATTTCCGCCAGAGTGTAATCTGACTGGGAGAGAGAGTTATGAATCTGGAACACCGTATGCAATTACAGTGCGATTGGAATACTTCCGATTATTGCATAATGGCTTATGCTTATAATAAAGATCAACATAGCTGGGAAAAAGTCTCAAAACATTTAAAAGCCTGGGATGATAACTTAATGTTAGATATTTCAAAACTTAAAGAACAAATTTGTGAGGCCTTACAGGCTCATTTAACTACTGTTCCTGGCTCAGACATTTTTGAAGGAGTAACTAAAGGATTATCTGATCTTAATCCCTTTAAATGGATCAAACCCCTCAGAGGATCATTGTTGTCATTGGCATTATTAATACTGTATGTTTACGTTGTCTACTTTTAGTCTGCAGATGTCTCCAAAGAGTCCGAGGACAAGTCCAAAATCAACGACAAGCAATGATGGCAGTGACGATCCTAGTCAATAAAAAGGGGGAAGATGTGGGTGGTAAGCCACCCAGGTGCTGAGGCAAGAGACCAAAGGCATGAGCTGTTCCAGTATAATAAATAAAATATATAGAATAATAATAGTTATACTAGAAATATAGATATGATTATATATTAATATTAATCATTAGTTTGTAGCATTACTCTTTATTCCAATATTATAATCATCTCTGTTCTACAATTATAACCTAGGAAAAACCAGCCATACAGAGACAGGAGCTGAAGGGACACGGTGAGAAGTGACCAGAAGTCAAGAGTGTGAGCCCTCTGTCATGCATGGACAGGGTTACTAGATGGCTCCTTGGTCTAGCGGTAACGCCAGTGCCTGGGAAGGCACCCATTACTTAGTGGACCGGGAAAGGGAATCTCCCTTTCCCCTGGGGAGAGAAGACTCTGCTCCACTACCTCTTGTGCAAGGCCTGACATGAATCAGGCCCGCCCACAGCCATCTGAAGGCCTAAACGTCTCCCTGTGATGCTATGCTTCAGCGGTCACACTCCTGGTGTACTTTCATGTTCTGCTCTGCGCACCTGGCCCCGCATTCTAGATAGCAGTAGCAGAATTAGTGAAAATACTAAAGTCTTTGATCTTTCCAAGAAATACATAGAAGAAATAATGATGTAAGCTGTCCCCTCTCTCTCTCTCCACCTTGGTTACCAAATAGGGAAGGGCCCCCTGTCCCGTGGACATGTGACTCGCGTGACCTTACCTATCATTGGAGATGACTCACACTACTTACCCTGCCACCTTGCCTTGTATACAATAAATAACAGTGCAGCCAGGCATTCGAGGCCACTACCAGTCTCCGCATCTTGGTGGTAGTGGTTCCCCGGGCCCAGCTGTCTTTTCTTCTCTCTGTCTTGTTTCTTTATTTCTACAATCTGTTGTCTCCGCACATGAAGAGAAAAACTCACAGGCCCTATAGGGCTGGACCCTACAGAAAGCCATCCAGGTGCCGAGGCAAGCACTGAAGGCACAAGCTGTTCCAATATAATAAAGAAAATAGGGGTAAAAGAAAGTTATGTTAGACATAGGATATAGAGATGATTATATATGGATATTATCAATTATTAGTTTTTAGTATTAATCTTTATTATTATAATAGAGGAAAAACCAGGCCATACAGAGTCAAGAGCTGAAGGGACATTGTGAGAGATGACCAGAAGACAGGAGTGTGAGCCCTCCGTCACACCTGGATAAAGGCCGCTTGAGGACTCCTTGGTCTAGTGGTAGCACCAGTTCCTGGGAAGGCACCTGTTACTTAGCAGACCTTGGTCTAGCGGTAGCGCCAGCGCCTGGGAAGGCACCCGCTACTTAGCAGACCGGGAAAGGGAGTTTCCCTTTCCTTGGGGGAGTTAGAGAACACTCTGCTCCACCAGCTCTTGTGGGAGGCCTGATATCAGCCAGGCGTGCCCATAGTCATCTGGAGGCTTAAATGTCTCCCTGTGGCGCTGTGCTTCAGTCGTCATGCTCCTTGTTCACTTTCATATTCCGCCTGTACACCTGGTGCCTCTTTTAAGTTCCTAGAAGATAGCAGTAGCAGAATTAGTGAAAGTATTAAAATCTTTGATCTCTCTGATAAGTGCTTTAAAAAACGCTGACATATGCTGTCCTCCCCCTCTGCTTCAACTACCACAAAGGGAAAGGCCCCCTGTCTAGTGGACACATGACTTGCTTGACCTTATCAATCACTTGGAATGATTCACTCTCCTTACCCTGCCCCCTTGCCTTATATTCAATAAATAGCAATGCTTCCAGGCATTCTGAGCCACTACTAGACTCTGTACATTGGTGGTAGTGGCCCCCTAGGCCCAGCTGTCTTTCTTACTCACTCTGTCTTGTGTCTTATTTTTCTATGATCTCTTGTCTCCACACATGAAGAGAAAACTCACAGGCCCTGTAGGGCTGGACCCTACGAGTCAGATGCGGTATGAAGTTGGCTGCATTCAAGTTTACTGTGTTTAGGTCACTATATAGAGTCTGATGACTTTTCCATTCACTTGGCTTAGTCAGATGTGGTATGAAGGCCGCTGCACTCAAGTTGACCTTGTGTACATCACTATCCAGAGTCTCACTACTTTTTCAATCACTTGGTTTACTCCGATGCCATATGAAGATCACTACATTCAGGTTCGCCCTGTGTACATCACTATCCAACATCTGACTACTGTTCCATTCACTTAGTTCAATCAGGTGCGATATGAAGATTGCTGCATTGAAGTTTACCATGGATTGGCCAGGCATGGTGGCTCACACCCATAACCCCAGCACTCTGGGAGGCCAAGGCGGGTGGACTGCCGGAGCTCAGGAGTTCAAGCAAAGGTCATGCCACTGCACTCCAGCCTGGGCAACAGACTGAGACTGCGTCTCCAAAATAAAGTAAAATAAAATAAAAAATAAATGAAATGGTAAAGTTGGCATCTCAAGTAGGTGGGAAAAGGCAAATTATTCCGTAAATGGTACTGAGACAACAGTGTAACCATCCTCTGGGGAAACACTGATAAAGTTCAGTCACACTTTCATCTGAATATCGGGAAAATTTTTAAACTATGGAGTCCCTGAGTTCCAGGCTGCAGTGAGCTATGACAGGGCCCCTGTACTCCAGCCTGAGTGACAGAGTGAGACCCTGTGTTTAAAAAAAAGAAACAAAGGTCAGGCAATATTTGGAGGGTATTTTTTTTTTCTTTTCAATTGATATACCGTAGGGCCATGTTTCCCAGGCTGATCTCCCTGGACTCAAGCGATTCTCTGACAGGACCACAGGTGTACACCAGTGAGCCTGGCTTGGTCACTTTTCTTTGTAGGGAAGAGTATAAATATACACAAATTCACAGATAAATTGTACTATGTAGTAAAGGTGGCATCTCAAGTTGCTGGGAGGAGACAGAACTGGCTATTCATGGTAGGCTTCATGGACACGCAATCCATGAGTTCAAAAGAGCCCAATTTGGGGTTTAGTGCTGTGTGTTCATGTCTTTTTTATTTTTATTTTTATTTTTATTTTTATTTTTAGATGGAGTTTCACTCTACCCAGGCTGGAGTGCAGTGGCACAAACACAGCTCGCTATAGCCTCAATCTCCTAAGCTCAAGAGATCCTCCTGCCTCAGTCTCCTGAGTACCTGGAACCACAGGTGCAGACCACCATGTCCAGAAAATTCTTTAAGTTGTTGTAGAGAAGGAAGCTCACTCTCTGCCCAGGCTGGTCTGAAACTCCTGAGCTCAAGTAATCCTCTTGCCTTGGTCTCTTAAAATGCTAGGGTTATAGGCGTGAGCCATCACATAAGATTAAAAAGTATGTATTTACTTTTTAATCTTATAATTAATATATCTTTTTTTATTATACTTTAAGTTCTAGGGTACATGTGCACAACGTGCAGATTTGTTACATATGAATACATGTGCCTGTTGGTATGCTGCACCCGTTAACTCGTCATTTACATTAGGTATATCTCCTAATGGTATCCCTCCCCTCTCCTCCCATCCCACTACAGGCCCCAGTGTGTGATGTTCCCCGCTGTGTGTCCAAATGTTTTCATTGTTCAATTCCCGCCAATGAGTGAGAACATGCGGTGTTTGGTTTTCTGTCCTTGCAATAGTTTGCTCAGAATGATGATTTCCAGCTTCATCTATGTCCCTACAAAGGACATGAACTCATCCTGTTTTGCGCCCCGCCAAGTATTTAATTTGATGATGTGAAGACAAAAAACAACCTTCCATGGAAAAAAACAAAAATACCATGCTCACACATACATAAAAACACCAAACAAGCAACAAACTAAAAGAGAAGATGTGCAACCCAAACCCCAGGAGAAGTACTTATCTTGCTGATATATAAAGAGCTCAGAGAAATAATTACATAAAAGACCAAGCTTACAGAAGAAAACAATGATCAAAGGTTAAGCACGGTTCCCAGAAAAGAAAAAGTGGTTCTTTGGCAAACATAGAAAAATATAAACCACTGAGATACAACTTTTCCATTAAGAGATTGGTGATTTCCGTAACTGTGATACGATGCTGTGCTGGCGAGCCTGGGGACATGCGCACAGCTTGATAGCTCTAGTGGTGTCCTTAGAGCCACTGTCCTGTAGCAGTCAGAAATTCCCAAACCCCTTGCACGATGGTGAAGCACCATGGTGATGTCACAGGTACCCAGAGGAGTCCTGACTGCCGCACAGCCATGTCCTGGCGCCACCTCACCTTTCCAAGCACTTTGGTCTGTCCACATCGATTGGAGTCAGCTTGGGATAATCACATTAACTCTCAGAGCTGATGTGTGAACCAGAAAGCAGAGTCTTAGTTTGCAGTGAGAAAAATTCCTTTCCAATGGCCAGTACCCTCTTGCCTACCACCCAGAGCATCCTCTTCTCAGGGAAACCTTACTAGTGGGCAGAATATGGTCTGATAAACACAGAACTGAGCAGAGATGATGGGAGTGGGGAGGCATCAAGGGCCACGTCGGGTGCAGGCTAAGCACATTATACACATTGTCTCGTTGGACCCTCATTTATTTCATTCAGCAAATGCTTATTAAATGTGAGCATCAAACAAAATCTCAACCAATTATGTATATTTGTGAATATAGCTAGATATCTATGTATATGTGTATATATGACAGATGATGAAAAATGGTATGGACACAAATAAAGCTAGGAAAGCAGGATAGGAAGCAGCAATGCCCAGGGTGGGTAGGGGAAGACTCTTCTTTGCAGCGCTGTAGAAAGCGTACTATCTCCATTTGACAGATGAGAAGTGATTTTCCCTAGTGCACACATAAGGCTTTCCTTCCTCTAGGCCTGGCATTTCCACAAGAAGCTTCCCAACTACCCAAATCAGAGAGGTGTCATCCTTATGCCCATGCTACAATTGCAAACCATGAGACTGCATATGGTTAACAGGTGGCTTGGGTTCAAATGCTGACCTTGCTTCCTTTTAGGCAAGTTGCTTAGCCTCTCTGAATGTCACTCTACAACAGTGCTGTTCCCTAGAAATACGTAGTCACGTGTAACTTTAAATGTTGCAGTAGCCGTATTTTTGAAATAAGAACAAACAAGGAAATTAATTTCATTTAACTCAGCATATACAAAATATCACTTCAACACGTAACTAACTACTTTGGAAGGATGGGGCAGGAGTATCACTTGAGGCCAAGAGTTCCAGGCAAAACTAGGCAACATAGGAAGACCGTGTCTCCATAAGAATTAAAAAACGGGTCAGGCGCAGTGGCTCATGACCGTAATCCCAGCACTTTGGGAGGCCAAGGCAAGAGGTCAGGAGTTAGAGACCAGCCTGGCCAACATGGTGAAACCACATCTCTACTATAAATACAAAAAACTAGCCATGCATGGTGGCACGTGCCTGTAATCCCAGCTACTCGGGAGGCTGAGGCAGCAGAATTATTTGAACCCGGGAGGCAGAGGTTGCAGTGAGCCAAGATCACACCACTACATGCCAGCCTATGTGACACAGCAAGACTCTGTATCACAAAAACATAAATAAATAAAAAACTTAGTTCAGGACCAGTGGCTCAGGACCGTAATCCTAGCATATTGGCAGGCCGAGGCAGGTGGATCACTTGAGGTCAGGAGTTCAAGACCAGCCTAACCAACAAGATGAAAGCCAACCTGTACTAAAAATACATGAATTAACTGAGTCTGGTGACCCGCACCTATAATCCTAGCTACTCGAGAGGTTGTGGCAAGAGAATCGCTTGAAACTGGGAGGCGGAGGTTGAAATGAGCCCAGATCGCCCCATCGTACTTCAGACTGGGCAACAAGAGTGAAATTCCATGTCAGAAAAAAAAAAAAAAAAAGGCTCACGCCTGTAATCCCAGCACTTTGGGAGGCCGAGGCGGGCG